GCAAATATGGTGTGACCAGTCATTGCTGATCACACTATCCAAGAGATGATAATTGGTCTTAAACGTCGGATGAACATTTTCTCAATAAATGTCAGTTGTCTCAATTATGCTCCTCGTTTAAATATAAAACATTCTGTGTTACAGGAATCAGTGAATACACTTCCAGAGCAGCAGCGAATGACACGTTAATTCTAAAAAAGCATCATTGCAAATCGTTGTTTATACTTGTGAGCAATTGCACTGCATGTGGAGGGAGGTGTACAGCCGTGATCGTCTAGTGCTTAGTACTCTGCGTTGTGACCGCCGCAAACTCGGTTCGAATTCGAGTCACGGCAATCGGCATCGATTTTACTTTTAACATACTTTTGAAATGTTCTAAAGTAATTGAGTGTACAATTAATCTGAAATTTAAATTAACCCGTTTGCATTTAATCAACAGTAATGATGATAATAATAGTGCTTTGGTGGAGCGTTTTATCTTATCTTCGAGACGTCTTCAAGTGCTTTACAGAACATACGTTATCTATAAAAAAAGTCAAACCCAATTAGTCAGTTCTATTCGCCGGAAATAATAAGAGATAACTTCAACTGCGGTCATAACAATTTCATTCACTTATAAAACAATTGAGGTTTGAGTTCAACATCTCAGCCATTCGGCCATCACAATTCTTCACTCACCCTCTTCAACCGTACAATATAATAATATTTATGAATCAAATTTTTTGAAAGATAAATATTGTAACAGATGACCTACAATGCAATAGTCTCGTTATCAGGCTGGCGTCAGAAACGCTTCATCATGATTATTGCAAGTTGGAGACTTCTAAGCATCCTGACATGAGAATTCCTGAGTTTGGAAGGGAATGAGCATAGTTTACCGGGGAACACAGACTCTTTATCTAATTCCAGGGACGATTTGGACCAGGTTGTGCATCTAGAAAAGGATTGCGGACTGCAGAGTGTGACGTCCAAACTGCTTGATGATCACTGGCTAAAACCTCAACCCTTACAAATAAATACACCATGTAGTGGGCGTTTAAGTGAAGCAAGTTTATTTAAAATGTTGTGGCCAAAAATTGCCTCGATAACATTAGTCATTCAAGTCACGGCTATTTGTTGTGGGCAAATTGGTTCAGAGGTTCTGCAGAAATACATTTTCACAACATATGTCACTTAATAAAAAAATCTTATCAAAGTCTTGGAGTTGTCTCGACAATGTGATAACGTGCTATCCCACTTTACGAAATGCAAGGAATCAAATCAAATGACAATTTTAATCAAGGAAATATTAATAAAGGAAGAGGGAGCTGACACGATTTTCTCCAAATTAGTTTTCTATTAGTTTGTCAGTAGTCGTGGCCGAGTGGTTAAGGCGATGGACTAGAAATCCATTGGGAAACTTCCCGCGCAGGTTCGAATCCTGCCGACTACGTATATTGCTCCCTGTTACTATAATTGTGCCACTGTTTGCAGGAATTTTTCCACATTTATAATAACTGTGAATTGTGATAACCTGTGGAAGAGGTGTGGTGGAGACTCGCCTAAAGCAAAGTTGACCTCACTGAAAGTCTTCCTTCATAAAATTATGAGCAGTATATCAAATGGGACTCGTTGACGGGAAAACTTTTCCACAAATTATAACAATTCATGCTCTGAATCATTTTGATTGTTTATTTCCGATGCAACTCAAAAATTTAATTAGGAGACGATTCTGAAAGAGGTTGAGAAGAGATGAGCTCTATTGACTGTTCAAAACATGACCGAAATATAAACGTGTAATTGTTTTCAAAATACTTTCACCCATTTTATTTTAAAGTGAGAAAACACAGCTGCGATATGACGTTGCTTTTCTTTAGTAAAACCATGAATTGAATGGATGAGACAGTACACTCCATTGTTTTTCGTATTAACGTGAATCAATCCATTGACTTCGACTTGATTTTGAACACCAGCCTCTGTTACGCTACGAGGTCGACAGATTATTTCACAAAACAGGCTGGGTTGTGAAGCAGGAAATATAAAAACAGCCTGTAATTGGTTAAAAAAAAGAGGAATCTTCCAATTAATAAAATTAAATGTTGACATTGGAAATGCAGTGATTAAACACTGTCCTCACATTTGCTGCTTACACCCACTTGCATTTATATTGCGAGCATCACTGGGTAAACACTGACTGGCATTGGAGGAAAAAATCAAGACTCTCTCCTGCCATCAATTTTCTGTGAATATAGCTTCTTACACTTCCCTGATTTGGCAGAAATGTACGTGGCTGGAGGGACATAATTGCAAATTATTGTATGGGATACAGAAAAAGATGCGAAGATGTTGCAATCGCAAATTGAAAATACTTGTGTTTCATTGTAGATTTCCGTTTTTCTTGACCGTAGCAGAAAACGAGATGACCAAATAATAAAAACAGAGAATGGAAGTAGTATTTCAGTTCGTACTAACGTTTCTCTGCATAACGTAGACCACGTGGCTTAATGGATAAGGCGACTGACTTCGGTGAACTTGCAGGCAATCAGAAGATTGCAGGTTCGAGTCGTGCTGTGATCTTTTGGCAAAAATCCGGAGGCACGTATTTCTTATGATGTTTTTATACTGTAAACTAGTAATTCGTGTTCTCTTTGACATATGTGTTGCTGCCTGTAAAATCAGCTCTGGGGAATTGCTTACAACAGCCGTGTTGCTGTTCTGTGTTGCTAATAACGCCATTTTCTTCATTAGTTGCCAATTGTGCTCACAAATTTCGTTTATTAAACGTAGTTTTTTTTTCTCTTTTGAAATATTGGAAGAAAATGTTTTCTCGAGTCACATGTTTGCCAAGTAAAAATATAACCGCAGTCACAAAAAGTTTTCTTTGCAAATTGTCCCAACTGATGGGATTGTGGAGTCCTGTGACTCAGTGGTGAGAGCACTCGCTTTGCAAGTGAGAGACCTGAGTTCAATTCCAGGCAGAGGGCCAAACCTTGGGCAAGTTTCCTTACTCCACACAGAGCCCTAATAATCCCTCCAAAACCAAAAATAATAATTAAATTGATCCTTTTCATTCTACGACTGTTTGTGGGACATTGCTGTGCGCAATTGGCTGCCGCGTTCGCCCACAAATATACAGTCAATTCATTTACAGTGTGTTCTGTGAAGCGCTTTGGGACGTCCACCCGACGTGAAAAGCGCTATATCAAATGCTAGGATTATTATTATTACAATTCGTTGGATCCGTACCAGACACCTCTTGTTGAGCATTTAAAGCATCTGCCAATAGCTACATTCCCTCCGCCACCTGAACACTGCTCAGTGATAATATTGTAGAAGCATAACATTCCTGTCAATAAATGTCAAATTGAAATCCTTTGACCATTTTCTTCCTTCACTAGAGACATCCTCTCACAGCTTGTTGCAACTCTTCACTGATCAGAAGCTCACTGCTGGCGGTTGCTTCTCAGACTTAAAACAGCCAAATGCCCTTGTGCATAAAGCAATAGGGAAGTTCCGCTTATAGATAATAATAGCAACAATTTTGCATTCGTACAGCTCACCTGAATGCGTCAAACCGGTTCACAGAGCGAGAGAGTCTGTAAAACCCACAATAATCCAAACCGGAGTCTAAATAACAAATGGTAGTTAAATTAACAATCGGCCAATTTTAGTACAAAGACTGATAGATTCATCAATAGGACACTGATGACAATTGTCGTGTCTCCGATATCAGTTTCAATTTGTTCCAGGCACTAACATATTAAACGAAAGATTTTTCATGAATTAACAGCCATGATGGGATGCATTATTTCCTAGACACAATAAACCTGTAGTTTTATTTGTTACGACTAGAATGATAATGTGTATCACGCTGTGACAATCATGGCAGCAATAAACAACATTTCTGGTGTTCGGGAAATCAGGAAGGCACAGCTGGGAGTTGAACGCAGGATCTCCTGTTTACGGGACAGGGCTTTAGCCCCTCATCCACGGCGCCGTTGCCACATCCTTACATATCATTCAACATCCAGATGACTGTCATCTTTGTCCAGCAGTTTGGTTCCTGCCGCCACCTCAATATACAAGACTTGACCACTCGCTCCTTATCCTCCGATTCCCCCATTCATTAACACGCCTTGTGAGTTTTGGATGCAGACCTGATCCTTGATGACACCCCACTGCCTCTCTGCCACGCTTTCTCTTTTTCTCTCGCTCTCACAATCACACAGGCATACTCTGTCAAAATCACTGTCTCTCCTTCTCTTCTGATAGTTATATCATTCCCTCTCCCCTCATTCTGCGAAATTAATCTCGCCCCCTCTCTCTCACCACTTACATTCTCATATGCTCTCTATCTCTCTCTCTCTCTATCTCTCCCCCCATACACTCTCTCTCGCTCTGTCTCTCACTCTCAAGCTCATTCTCTCTCTCTCCCCTTTTTCACTCCACTAGCCGCAGGTCACTGCATACAATAAAGGAGCCGGGGGTTACCATGTGGCAGGAGCCGGGGGTTACTATGTGGCAGGAGCGAAGACCTAAACACGTGATATAATAATAATAATATTAATAATAATAATAATAATCCTTGCATATGACATACCGCTTTTCACGTCTTCTCGACGTCTCAAAACGCTTCGTAGAATATACTCTAAAGTGAATTGGCTGTATATTTGTGGGCTAAACTCGGCAGCCAATTGTGCACAGCAAAGTCCCACAAACAGTCGTGGATTGAAAATGACCAATGTATTATTGCTTTGCTTTGGAGGAATTATTATTAGGCATGTGTAGTAGGGAAATTTGCCCAAAGTTTTGCACTGCCTGGAATTGAACTCAGGTGTCCCGCTTGCAAGGTGAGTGCTGTCACCACTGAGTTACAGGAGCTACATGAATATATAGACTGCGTACTCCAAGGTCTACGAAGGTCATCAGTGCTTTGATTCAGAATTCCTTCTCCGTCTGCCATTTTGTGCAGTGTTATTAATTAAAATATAGGGTTTTTTCAAGTGCTTTTTTTAGCCGGAGCTACGATGGCCGAGTGGTTATGGCGTTGGAATTGAAATGCAATGGGGAACTCCCATCGCAGGTTCGAATCCTGCTTGCAGTTTTTAGATACAATTTCGTGAAATGCAGATATCACAATCAATCCTTCATAATCATTCTGGCCTTGCCAACACGGAATACTATACAAAGGATATATGAATATATAAAAGAACAGAAATTACATTCTTGTAGTTTGTTTTACTTTTGGAGGACGTAAGAAATCACTCGACAGTGGAGTATTCGCAGTATATTCTGTGTAGCTCTTTGCGATTTCTCAATAACATTATGATCCTTTATATCATGCAAGTTTTACTATAAGTTTCTTACGTCAATTTTCTATATTAATATTAGATTGTTTCCACTGAGATCATAACTATCTCGTGCGCCAATAGAAAGATCGTATCTTGACATATCGGCCACTCGACCATCTTTATTCTTCTCATACCAAACGTTTGTGGGATACGACAAACTAATATTTATTTATCAACTATTTGAACAAAAATAAATGTCCAAACAAAGAAAATCATGCTCCGAATCAACTACCAACTATGTTCCTACTTACAACAAGGTAACAGCGGCGTGTGGAGCAAAAAAATTGTATCTATTGTGTGGCCATATATGGGAACCAAATCGATTCTGTTTCGGACGTTCTCGCACATCATGAATTTCAAGGTCTGTTCCCGTGTCTTTTTCAGTAGCAACAATACCCTACACCAACCCGTCTGAGTCCCTTCTTTTTCGGGACTGCTCTTGATTCCATTCTTTTTATTTATTTATTCATTCTTTATTGCTACTTGTGAAAGGCATTGGAAATTTGGGTTGTCATTCACTCGGCTGAGTTTAAGACTTGTTACAATTACACTTTAAGCTTACCGGAAATAATGTCAGCAGCAACGCTAACTCCCAAGCTATATTCGTGTTATAAATACTGTATATACATATTGCTGATTACTCGGTGTTCATTCAAGGGGAAATGTTTGCACAAGCTCCTCCCATGAGAACCGGGATTAAGCAGTTGCTGTTGAGATTTTACTTGTAACACGAGAACATCTTGATGGCTGTCACGTCATCAGCTGTCCTGCAGAATTCCTCTCACCACGCTGAAGTCTGATGTCCGACAGAATACGATTTAGGAATCTCTGAGGATTGGAGAGACAGCTGCTGGAAGGCCTTACCTGAAGACCGAGTTCATTACCATACATTCGCAGGTCCATCATGATTGGTCTACCGAGAGGATAGAGTGGTCAGTTACGGTTTGATTAAACCGACCTCCAAATCGTGGAACCATAGATCAATGTGAATGACCATGTGAGCAAGTTTTGGACAGCTAGGAAGCTGATGGCAACCATATCGAGCTGAGACACGTTGCGCACCGAGAATCTCGCAGGCGGATCCTTGCACCTATCATCAACCGAGTCAGCGTTCAAACCCGTGCTTGTCGGTTACCTAACGACCAACTAATCAGTATTCTATTGGGGAGGTGGGGCGGGGGCGGTGCGCTGCGGGGGGGGGGGGGGGGGGCGGATGGTGTCCACTTGGAGCTGAAGTGGCTCCAATGAGACATGCCTGGAAATGCAATGTCTGTATCGAGCAAGGCCTCTGTGACGGTCTTTAGTACATTTCCAGTTAATAAGCCAAATGCCTTATGGTTAGTGTGGCCTTAGTTGCACAAACAATGGGAAAGCTGCCGCAGTTCATTATCAATGGCAAAATATGTGGTGTTAGATGGTTAGATTCCAGCATTACCCCAACACACACGCTGGGATCACCTGCGCTTAATACTTTCCAGAATTGGATTGGCAGGGTTCGTCCCTCCAGGGGGAGAATGTGCATTCCATTCCATCAATCTACCTATGGCATTTCCAAGTGCAGAAGGGAGACATGGAAGTCTCATCTTGGTTTTATACTTTTAAGGAAGTGGATGGATTCCACATGTGACAGACAGCCGGCCGGACCAAAATAAAAAAATGGATGTTGAATTTCCTGGCATGTTTAAAATTCGTAATATAGCTACTTTCTGCTGGATGTTGATTTTTTATTCACAAGCTGTTTTTTCAAGACACACTGAGTTGTGTTATTCACCTTCCCAGTTGCATAGATAATTAAAAAAAACTTTGTTTTGTTGTTATATTCCAAGTATATTCGTATTCAATTTGCAGATTGCTAGATTTCCTGATATTAACTAGTTCCTTATTTTCTTATTAATGTCCTCCAGCGTTGTGGTTAGGACACTCATGTGGATAGCGATGTGACCGCGGTTCATTTCGGTGCAGTTTTAGAAGAACCAATGTGCATGTCCCTTCAGTGTGCATTAGTGCAAAATCTGCCCTTTACCAGCTTGAACCGCAGTGCGAGGGATTGCAGGCAATGCCACACAAGCTTTCCGCTGGGAGAAGTATATGCATTGGAGTATTATGTCTAACAGGAACCGAGTAAGGAAGCATCAGTGATTGCAGTTACTGAACAAACCTTCTATTTCCTGCCGATGAGCCATTCTGGAAGGTCTACCAAGCACTGAGCCGTGGGGTTCTGTGGACACGACTGTCTCTGGAAAATGTCATCCACTATTATAACACAGGATTGACTCGATTTCATAATTCCGTTGCCGAGCAACAACCGTGGATACAGCTCAGCTCCCAGTTGACTGGTTCACACCCTTATCCAAGGAGAGCAGTTGTAAATTTACTGGAAATAATCTTAGTGCACTTCTGGATGATCAGCCTGTTGGGACTTCTCGCTTTTACCGTATAAATAAAACATTATCCAATGTCTCCGATTCAGTCCAGGCTGTGCGTTTCAACATGAAGAGATATCACAGCTTTTCAGAAAAGATGTATCAAACAGATACGATATTTCAAATAATGTACATATATTATCCTTTACTCGCCGTTATTGGTGTTCCAGGTATGTCTATATAAATAAAAATTAAAATCGTGTTTCCTACGAGTCTAAAAATGTCGTGAAACTATTTTGATGTATGAGTTGTGGTCATATATGGCGCGGATGATTTTCTACCTGGTTTCCTTTATTTATTTTATTCTATTAGCATTTCAGAGGACCACCGATGTTTTGAATTCGTAAACAGATGTCCAATAATATATAATATTTATATTATATACTGTGCATATCCTTGCATTTGATACAGCGCTTTTTATGTATCCAAGACGACTCAAAATGCTTCACGGAATATCCTGTGAAATGTACTAACTATATTTTGTGATATCATAAATAACTTACCGAAAATCGGCTTTTAAGTAAAAAATGAATTCAACAATTTGGAAAATTAGAATATCAAAAACGCTCTTGAATATAAACATGTAGACACATACGCAATATTTCCTCCGTAGTTGCTTTCATACTATAACATAAATTTACTCCGTGGACGGAGACCATTCGGGCCATTGAGTTTGCATCGCCTCTCAGGAACGTGTTCTGCCTTAAACAACTCATTCCGCTTGAAGCCGCTTTTCCTACGAAATATATATTATTCTAATATTATCCAGGATCAAGTCATGCACGGTGTATGTTTTATTTATGTGAAATTAAGTGCTTCCATCATTTTGTTGAAGATTCATGATTGCATTATACAGAAAAATCCGATTAGATAGGGCTCTGCCATTGATAGGTATTACAGACAATGCGCCACAATATGTTTTATAGTGGAATACTATAAATTTCATTATTTAAAATTCAATCGTGCTTCATTACTTGTGGCAACTCAAATGAGAGTACGTGAAATTCTAATTATCTGATACACGTTCAAAGATTAAAACTGACATAATGTAGTTTCTCTGCATCTACTCCGTTACTGCATGCATCAATTTCACATGCAGTTCTCATTACTAATATAAAAATTAATTGATTTGACTTACACAACAAGAGAAATGTTTAGTGGATTTACTGAAAGTTGTAGTCAGACTGTATTTTGTAGGCGATGGCATCAGTCAAATTGCAACTTTCCAGTTTCCTTAAACGTTCACTGAAAAGGCACGAGTTTTTTTTCGAGTTTAAGTTTTATCTGAAGGACCGATTTTCGAACACACAACATTTCCTCAGCAACAAATTGCAAAGCGAACCCAGAGCAAGAGTTCAAAAGGCCACGTACTGCCGGTGGTGGAAATCTGAAATAATACCAGAAGCCGCTGAGGACGCTCAGCAGGTCAGGCCACACCTATGGAAAGGGGAAAGTGAGTCAGTGTTTCAGGCCAACGACCTTTCTCTCGTGAGTTCAAAGCCTGACTACAGTTTTAACTGAAGCTAAAGACAAACAGGAATAATGTTTATCATATTATATTTTGATTCTTTTGATTCCTGTAGTGCTAACGGGCATTTTGTTTCTAGGTGAGAGATATAAGGTTGATAATATTTAATAGCTTATGTATCTGAAGCAACAGTGGTGCATGTAAAAAAAAGACCAGATTATCTCAGAATTCAAACTTGTTGGATGATTTACAATGACTTGATGATACATTTGTTTTAGCTCCGTGTTTTTCTTGCGAACTGGGCGACAATCAACTTGTATCTTTCTTACAGTTAACGTAGCTGCGATTGCGATCCTATCGCGGGGAAAGTGTCGTCTCTCCAGATGCATCACTCGTTACCTGGTGTCCATGTCAGCAGCCGATCTACTGGTTATTGTCAATGACGTGATATTCACTCGAATGAATTATCTTTATTACCCAATTTGCTTCCTGGATCTCACTCCAGTATGTTCGCTGGGAACCAGTCTGCTCTGTGCAGCAACTGACTGCTCTGTGTGGCTAACAGTGGCCTTCACCTTTGATCGCTTTATAGCTATTTGTTACCCTAAGTTCAAAACAAAATATTGTAATGAGAAAACAGCGGCTGTGGTGATAGGAATAGTCTGTACTCTGAGCTATTTCAGAAACATACCCTGGTATTTTATTTATCAACCTTGGTATATAATTGACAATTTACCGTGGTTTTGCAAGACAAAAGAAAGTTATTATAGTTCATGGGCCTGGGGAGTTTATTCCTGGACTTGCACTTTATTAACCCCTTTTGCTTCCTTTGTTCTCATTTTTCTACTAAATATCCTGACCA